GCCGCCACCGCTGCCTGTCCTGCTTAGCAGCCGACTGGTCCTGGGGCCCGCAGTCCGGCCCTCCAACAGCCTGAGTGACGGTGAACTGGCCCCCTGTTTAAAAAGTTTAAGGACCCCTGCCGTAGGCAGTAGCTCCCCATAAACCCTTTCCAAGCCCTGGAACCCTTTACTTTCTGCCTCCATAAATTTGCCTGTTCTAGGTATCTCATGTAAATGGATTCATACAGTATTTTCCCCTTGGGGAAAATTATTTCGCTAGTTTATGTTGGCACATCATTTCCACAGTTTATCTGTGTTGTGGAATGTATCAGTACTTCATTTTGTGACTGAACAGTATTTTGTTATATAGATATACCACATTAAAAAAAATCCATTCATCACTTGTTGGGTATTTGGATTATTTCCACCTTTGGGCATTGTGAATGGTGCTACTACATCTCTGTTTGCATCCTAATTTTTGTTCCTTTGGGTGTATACCCAGGAGTGGGACTGCTGGGTCATACGTAATTCAGTGTTCAGCCTTTTATTTTTCTAGGTAGGTTTACTTAGGGGCCCACAAAAGGCCCAGCTTGCTTTTAAACTCCTTCACTAGGGGTCATGGTAAATTTTCTCACAAGAAAATACCTTATCCGTGGTTTCTGTTTGGTCCATAAACCCCTGTATTAGTATTGCTGTCAAGGCCTGTTAAAATGTTTATGGTGGCATGCACAGCGGCTCCTGCCTGTAATCCCAGGACTTTTGGAGGCTGAGGCAGGAAAATCACTGATCCCAGTTTAAGACCAGCCTGAGCCACACATCATGAGACCCTGTCTCTATAAAAAAGAACATGTAAAATAAATAATTAGCTGAGCGTAGTGATGTGCACCTGTAGTCCCATCTACTCAGGAGGCTGGGGCAGAAGGAGCACTTGAACCCAGTTGTTTGAGGTTGCAGTGAGCTATGATGATGCCACAGCCCTATAGCCCGGGAGACAGAATTAAAAAAAAAAAAAAGTATTTGGCTACATCCAATCACTGATCAATTGAATCAGAATTTCTGAGTATTGGGTCAGGAATCTACATTTTTAGCAAACTCCACTGGCAATTTTTATGCACTTAAGTGTGAAAATTACTTGTGTGGACCATTCAATTCAACAATTCCACCACTAATGTAACAAGACCATTCTG